CGAGACTAAATTAGCATTCCTAAGGAGGTGTGAATCACATGCTGCAGGTCTCTGAGGTTGGAAGGCCGAGGTTGAATGGTTTTCAAACCCCCTTTCCCCCTGAGCATGGGTGAAATGATCAAAAATCAGTTTCTGAGGAATACATGGGACAGAATATCCTGAAGATAAACTACATGTTTCCTCAACATCTGTGTTTGGGACATGGGAAGTCAGGTCACTGCTACCTCTGTCTGTTGGTGGAAGTTGGGGAGCTGACTTGATTCCCAAAGACTTAGGGTCTGGTGGGAAAGATTTCCACTTACTGAGCGGAGGAGGTGCTAACCTCTCATCCAGGGAGGAGTGGGAATCAGAAAAGCCGGAATCACACTGGCTGTAAGACTGTACTGGGGCTAGATGTTCTGATCTAAGCCTAAAAAGTTCTTCTTTATGTGAGCAGAGGTCTAACTCTGCTGAATGCAAATCATCTAAATAGCGCATGGCTTTCTTGTTAGCCATCTGTGCTTCATGGAGGAGGGAAGCATTTTGCGCTCTTAGACTTTCTACCTCCTTTTCTAAGGCTGATTTGCTCTGAAAGGCAAGGGTGGTTTGCCTGTGAAAGATCAGAAGCAAGCATTTTAACAATGTACCACTGGATGCAGTCTGTGCATCACAATTGTCGCTGAGTAGAGAGTTTATCTCTTCAATGCATTCACCGAGACTTAATCTGCTGATGAGTTCTGGACAGCCAGAGTTTAGGCTCTGTGCAATGGAAGAGGTAAATTGTTCTAAACAGGGGTTCGCCATTGTTAGGTCTTAAAAGGAGGGTAAGGCTAAAACAGGTTGTCCTAGTACAAGTCCAATGTTAAGTTGGCTGTGGTGTTGCTTGGGTGCTTGGTGTGTTTGTGTGTGTGTGTGTGTGTGTGTGTGTGTTTGTGTGTGTGTGTGCGAGAGAGAAAAGAGAAAGACAAAGGCGGGTGTGGTGATCAAAGAGCCGTTTGGCCTACAAAACAAAATGGCTGACAACAGAGAACTACCAAAATGGCCGAATCAAGGCTTGCTTCAGGTCGGGGGAGGTGTTTGTCTGACCATGCGGTCAGGACAAAGACAAAGGAAAAGAAGCGGGAACTTTGAGATGCCTGTTTGGGTGTAGCTCTGTTGAAAGCCTATTTGTTAATGAGTCTATGACATGTGTTGCAAACGGTCTGGATTAGTGCAGAGATTGTTTAGTTGTGTGCAATAATCTGTTTGTGAACAGTATTAGCAAACTAAACACTTAGCTTTGGCGAAGCCAACTAACCAATGACCTGACTGCAAACAATCACAACAATAACTCAATGACAGCATTAAATCACATACAACAAGTTAAACAGTCTTGCTTAGCCTGTAAAGTTGTGATAAAGCTATGCCCAGTTGTTGTGTTACCGATCCTTGAGTGGATGGGAGAAAGAGTCACTTGGTGGTGTACTGCTTTGTTAGCCTGCGGAAGAAGGCTAAAAAGAGCTGTGGTTCCAGGTGCAGTCTTTGTTGTTTCCTTTGTTCCAAAGGTGAAACTCTGAGGAAGCTGATCACTCAGGGTCTTTGCAGAGTTAGATGCTGGGTGCTAACTCACATGGTTCTCCTTGTTGCTAGAAAGCTAGTTGCAAACCTTGTGCTTGCACCTCTAACATTCTGGTTCAGGTTAGAGAGTCTGTAATCAATTGCCCCACCTTTGATGGTTCAGGGCAAGGAGCAAGGATCTGAGCGTCTGGACTGGTCCAGGACCAGCCGGAAAGAGGTATGGGTGGCTTGGCAGCTCCCGAGTAAGAGAGATGGTCTTGTCCAATCAAGTTTTGAGACTTGTGTGTCATTGAGGTGTGAGATGACCTCCTGTAGATATGAGTGTCAAATAGCTGTCTTTGTTTGAAGAACAAAGAGCATGCAGAGAGAAAAAGCCTTCACACGTCCAGTTTAGATTGATGACAAACCATCTGTGGTCCTGTGAATCCCAACAGTATTGTGTCACCTATTTAAATAATTCCTCAGGAAAAAAAACAAATATCACAGACAATATTCATTATGTAATTTCATTTTTTCTTTGTTCTTTGGGTGTTTGCCTTGCTTTGTTTGGTTATTTTTGTACCATTCGCAACACCTCATTCACACGTCATGAGAAATCTAAATTTATTTCTTTGTTATAACCTCTCATTACACCGGTGAAACTTCATTTAACATTCACTTTGGAGGAATGTACCAGCAACCTGTTTCACAGAATGAAAAAAGGGAGGATGCCACTTTACTGAGCCAAGAAACTAACATATTGACGTCTGACACTTTGTGTCCTATGATTTGGTGTTGTATATTGCTAAGGTATCAGGACATTGTCAAAAAGTTATTACCTATGAGTCACGTCATTAGCTTTGTATTCTGTTCCAATATAAAGGCCATAATAGATGTGGACTGTCACTTAAGGTGAAAGGTTTGGAACATCACAGACGTGAACAGGACTGAATTAAGACACTGGAATAGTGTTTAACATTGAAAGCAGATAGAAGGGGGGGATTTATACCTTCATCTCATATCTTTACATTTGTAAGTGCATTTTTTTACGGATGAGTTCTTCCCGACACATCCTCAAATATTTCTTAGATAAATGTAGACTCACCTAAATATCGTAATTATTTAATATAAGAGCAATATAAATTGCGTTTTACTAAATCTGTTGAATTCTTTGATGCTTTATAGCTACAATGACACCAGCTGCAACAGAAACAAATACAACTGCTGCACCAACAACTGCTGCACCTACAACAGCTGCACCCACAAAGGCCGCACCTACAACAGCTGCACCCACAACTGCTGCACCAACAACGGCAGCGCCTACTGCTGCAGCTCCTACAACTGCTGCACCTACAACTGCAGCACCTACAACTGCTTCTCCAACAACAGCTGCACCTACGACTGCTGCTCCAGCAACTGCTGCACCAACGACTGCTGCTCCAACAACTGCTGCAGCAACGACTGCTGCACCTACAACTGCTTCTCCCACAACGGCCGCAAATACAACAACTGCACCTACAACTGCTGCACCAACGACTGCTGCTCCAACAACTGCTGTACCAACGACTGCAGCTCCTACAACTGCTGCACCTACAACTGCAGTGCATCCAACTGCTGCTCGAACAACTGCTTCACCAACGACTGCTGCTCCAACAACTGCTACAGCAACGACTACTGCACCTACAACTGCTGCACCCACAACGGCGGCAAATACAACACCTGCACCGACAACAGCAGCGCCTACTACTGCAGCTCCTGCAACTGCTGCACCTACAACTGCAGCGCCTACGACTGCTTCTCCAACAACTGCTGCACCTACGACTGCTGCTCCAACAACTACTGCACCAACGACTGCTGCACCTACAACGGCCGCAAATACAACAGCTGCAAATACAACAACTGCACCTACAACTGCTGCACCTACTACTGCTACACCAACAACTGCTGCACCTACAACTGCTGCACCTACGACTGCTGCTCCAACAACTGCTGCACCAACGACTGCTGCACCCACAACGGCCGCACCTACAACATCTGCACCTATAACAGCTGCACCAACAACGGCAGTGCCTACTACTGCAGCTCCTACAACTGCTGCTCCATCAACTGCTGCCGCAACGACTGCTGCACTTACAACTGCTGCACCCACAACAGCCGCAAATACAAAGGCTGCAAATACAACAACTACACCTACAACTGCTGCACCTACGACTGCTGCCCCAACAACTGCTGCACCCACAACGGCCGCAAATACAACAGCTGCAAATACAACAACTGCACCTACAACTGCTGCACCTACGACTGCTACACCAACGATTGCTGCACCTACAACTGCTGCACCTACGACTGCTGCACCTACAACAGCTGCAACGACAACAGCGGCGCCTACTACTGCAGCTCCTACAACAGCTGCACCTACAACTGCTGGACCTACGACTGCAGCTCCAACAACTGCTTCACCAACGACTGCTGCTCCAACAACTGCTACAGCAACGACTACTGCACCTACAACTGCTGCACCCACAACGGCCGCAAATACAACGGCGGCAAATACAACACCTGCACCGACAACAGCAGCGCCTACTACTGCAGCTCCTACAACTGCTGCACCTACAACTGCAGCGCCTACGACTGCTTCTCCAATAACTGCTGCACATACGACTGCTGCTCCAACAACTACTGCACCAACGACTGCTGCTCCAACAACTGAAGCTCCAACAACTGCTGCACCTACGACTGCTGCACCTACAACGGCCGCAAATACAACAGCTGCAAATACAACAACTGCACCTACAACTGCTTCACCAACGACTGCTGCACCTACAACTGCTGCACCTACGACTGCTGCTCCAACAACTGCTGCACCAACGACTGCTGCACCCACAACGGCCGCACCTACAACATCTGCACCTACAACAACTGCACCAACAATGGCAGCGCCTACTACTGCAGCTCCTACAACTGCTGCTCCATCAACTGCTGCCGCAACGACTGCTGCACTTACAACTGCTGCACCCACAACAGCCGCAAATACAAAGGCTGCAAATACAACAACTGCACCTACAACTGCTGCACCTACGACTGCTACACCAACGACTACTGCACCTACAACTGCTGCACCTACGACTGCTGCTCCGACAACTGCTACACCAACGACTGCTGCACCTACAACAGCTGCACCTACAACAGCTGCAACGACAACAGCGGCGCCTACTACTGCATCTCCTACAACAGCTGCACCTACAACTGCTGGACCTACGACTGCAGCTCCAACAACTGCTGCACCAACGACTGCTGCACCTACAACAGCTGCACCTACAACTGCTACACCGACAACGGCAGCGCCTACTACTGCAGCTCCTACACCTGCTGCACCTACAACAGCAGTGCCTCCGACTGCTGCTCCAACAACTGCTGCACCAATGACTGCTGCTCCAACAACTGCTGTAGCAACGACTGCTGCACCTACAACTGCTGGACCCACAATGGTCGCAAATACAACAGCTGCACCTGCAACTGCTGCACCGACAACTGCAGCGCCTACGACTGCTGTTCCAACAACTGCTGCACCCACAACGGCCGCAAATACAACAGCGGCAAATACAACAACTGCACCTACGACTGCTGCTCCAACAACTGCTGCACCAACGACTGCTGCACCTACACCAGCTGCATCCTCGACGGCCGCACCTACAACATCTGCACCTGCAACTACTGCACTGACAACGGCAGTGCCTACTACTGCAGCTCCTACAACTGCTGCACCAATGACTGCTGCTCCTACAACTGCTGCACCAACGACTGCTGCTCCAACAACTGCTGCAGCAACGACTGCTGCACCTACAACTGCTGCACCCACAATGGCTGCAAATACTACAACTGTACCTACAACTGCTGCACCTACGACTGCTGCTCCAACAACTGCTGCACCAACGACTGCTGCACCTATAACTTCTGCACCTACAACTGCTGCACTTACGACTGCATCTCCTACAACTGCTGCACCTACAACTGCTGCACCCACAATGTCCGCAAATACAACGGTTGCAAATACAACTGCAGCGCCTACGACTGCAGCTCCAACAACTGCTGCACCAACGACTGCTGCACCTACAACATCTGCACCTACAACTGCTACACCGACAACGGCAGCACCTACTACTGCAGCTCCTACAACTGCTGCACCTACAACTGCTGCACCCACAATGTCCGCAAATACAACGGTTGCAAATACAACTGCAGTGCCTACGACTGCTGCTCCAACAACTGCTGCAGCAACGACTGCTGCACCTACAACTGCTGCAACCACAACGGCCACAAATACAACGGCCGCAAATACAACAGCTGCACCTACAACTGCTGGACGTACGACTGCTGCTCCAACAACTGCTGCACCAATGACTGCTGCACCTACAACAGCTGCACCTACAACTGCTGCACCGACAACGGCAGAGCCTACTACTGCAGCTCCTACAACTGCTGCACCAATAACTGCTACCTCTACAACTGCTGCACCAACGACTGCTGCTCCAACCACTGCTGCTCCAATAACTGCTGCAGCAACGACTGCTGCACCTTCAACTGCTGCACCCACAATGGCTGCAAATACAACAACTGCACCTACAACTGCTGCACCTACGACTGCTGCTCCAACAACTGCTGCACCTACGACTGCTGCTCCAACAACTGCTGCACCTATGACTGCTGCACCTACAACTGCAGCTCCAACAACTGCTGCACCAACAACGGCAGCACCTACTACTGCAGCTCCTACAACTGCTGCACCTACAACTGCAGCGCCTACGACTGCTGCTCCAACAACTGCTGCACCTACATCTGCCGCTCCTACCACTGCCGCACCTACAACAGCTTCACCTACAACTGCCGCTCCAACAACTGCTACACCTACACCTGCCGCACCTACGACTGTGGCTCCTACCACTGCAGCAGCTCAACCTCGTTATAGCCTCTCAGCAGACTTGGCAGGAGAAACTTTTTCAGAGGACCACAATGACCCCAACAGCCCTGCATTCAAAGCACTTGCAAAATGAGTTGTAGCTACAGTGAGTTCCTGTTGTGATTATAAATTAGTCATTAACTGTATCAAAAAACTGTTAAGATCAAAATACATTTTTAGAAACTTGTAAGTTTTGGGTTTTTATATGATTCGAAAATCAGCTTTAAATGTCCTCAAGCTTTTCTGATGTTTTTTCTCTGTTTGCAGTGTTTTCAGATATACAGGCACAAATTTCCAGACTTTGTTGACTGCATTGTGACAAAATTCAGGTAAAAGTATTCGTGTTATTTTTCCGACAGTGGTTCAGTGATTTACTTTATTCAGGATTTAGAATTAATATTTAACACTTTTCCCATCTGTTTTTTTATGAAACAGTGCTCTCGGTACATCACGAGCAGAAGGAATTAAAGCCGATTTTGATGTTGTCTTCAATCAGAACACTACAGATCCCCCACCAAATGTTGTCATTGCTTCTACCCTCCAAGAAGCAGTGAGTAATACCAACAACTCCTTCAACGTGAGCATAAATCCCAGCTCAGTCACCTTAGTAGGTAAGTAAACAAATGTTTCACTCTAATCAGTATGTAAAACAGTGTACATGTGCTTCTCATGCTCTGTTTATGAAGTCACAAACTAAATTATGTTGCTAGGCAAGATTCATAAAGAAAACTTCAGTGTTATGCAGTTTCATTGATGCAGGATGAGCTAGAAAGCAAGAAAAAAAAAATTTTTGGTTTGGGGACCGACACTCATTTACATATTCTTATATGACTTTTACAGCAGGCCCAGTTGCAACTACAACTACAACTGCTGCACCTACCACCGCCACAGCTACTACTGCCGCAGCCACTACTGCTGCATCCTCTACTGCTGCACCTATAACTGCTGCAGCTACCACTGCTGCAGCTACTACTGCTGCACCTACAACTGTAGCACTCATGACCAAAAGGGTGACTTTCAGATCTGTTCAAGGCACATTTACAAGCGACCTGCTGAATCCATCTTCTGCAGCTTATATGAATCGAGCTGCAATGATAGTAAACCAGGTAAGTTTCAATTTTCCTCAAAATGCTCATGCATCTGCTCAAAAAGTGGAGCACTTTCTCTGCCTACATACTAAAGGATCACATTTTCAAATTCCCCAAATAACTGATAACAAAAGCATCAAGGAGAATATAATAATGCAAATAAAGCTCCACCCCCTGCTTACTCTGCAACTTCTCATTTGACTTCCCTTAATTATAACAATAATTTCTGAAATACGTCTCACGTTTCAGGACATACACTGTTTCACATGTATACACATGCACACAGTTCAGTGTTTCAAGGCAAAAATAAAAGCAAACATTGTATTTTAAATACAACTTGTTTTCTGTTTCTGCAGCTTACACCTATTTTCCAAAGGGAATTCGGTACCAGCTTTAAATCCTTGAAAGTGGTGTCATTCAGGTAATTTTTTAAAGATTTCTATGTTACAATATAAGAATAGAGACATAAATCTAATATTTTGCACTTTTTGTTTTGCTTGTTTCTTCTTCTGCAGCAATGGATCCATCTTCAACACTCTTGACTCTGTCTTTGAAAGCACATCTGCTCCCAGTGACACACAGATTGCAAGGGTTTTAATCAGTGCAGCTTCAATCGTCACCGGCTTTGACATTGAAACCAGCTCCATCACTGTGAATGGCATATGTAAGCAACACTGGTGCTGCTTGATCATTATTTTTATTATTATTATTATTTTTGATCACACAACTGTTAAACTAATGTCTTGTTTCATTTTCTCCTCATTTATAGCTTCAAGTGGAGTAAGCCACAAGATCAGTCTTGTCGTGGCATGCTGCCTGGTACTGTTGTCATGGCTACTGTCCAGCCAGCAATAACATCAGTGCTGATATCTATCTGAATTGCCACCAGAACATTACTGCCATCACTGGTATGAAAAAGGACTATGTTGTCAGTAAAAATCCATGATTCATTATTGTCTAAGTTTTGTACAGCTTCAGATGAATTAACCATCAAATTGAACTTTCCACTGACTGGACAAAGTCATGACAGTGGATTAGGTATGTCTGTCGAACTCAACACACTTCTGTGTGGGAATGTCCAGGATCCTCGGCCAGACAGAATGACACAGCCAACTTTAAGCACCTGGTCCACTGAGTCATCGCTAGAATAATAAGCAAAAAAATATACCATTAAGCCCTGGGATGTCAGAAAATAAAGTGCTACAGCAATATTTTACTGAGTGACAGTTACTAATTCTGTTTTGTTTAGTCATGCCAAACAAGTGATCAAGTCCAAGTACACAAGTGAAACCAGCTGCATTGAAAGGTAAAAACTTAAATCACTCTAACCATTGTCAGAATACAGTTGCACATTTATTTTAATACATGCAGATTGAGAAATTTCTCTTCCTTTAAAAAAAGAAAAAAGATAGGTCTTTGTAATTTGTACAAGATCATTCAAAATGGCGTAGTTTTACTTTGAGCTTAAAAGTCTGTGCAAACATTTCCCTGGTCTACAAATGCATGTAAAATTGATGTTAAGGTTTAACTAGATACCGTAGCATGGTATAACATGACATAGCAATAACAGAGAGCATATTGTAAAAGGAACAAGTGTTTTCAATGAAATGAAGGAACACCTGCAGCTCATAGTGAGCCATGGTGAGGTATGATTTTTATATATATACACATCTATATGTCAAAACAATGCACTGTTAGTTTTCTTATTTATACAAGGTGTATTTATGTAATCATGTATAGCTGTATTCTGTGAGATTTCTTCATTTAATTTAACTAAGTTTAACTTTACAATGATCAGAATACAGATTCTTTCAAAACTTCAAATTGTCTCGTGTGATGTTTTGGAAATTTGGTGGGTAAATAGAAAATGCATCACGGTATGTTTAATGTCGGGAGCTTTAAATAGTGAAGTGATGTTTACTGATAATCAAACCCTGCCGAGTGATTTTGTATGATTAAATTTCACAATAGTGTCTTACAATCAGGTGTGTTCAGAAAGCGAGAACTGGAAGTGGTGCATACTTTTCTTTGGCTATGAGATTCATATTTGTTCAGACACCGCCACACAGTCTGAGAGAAACATTGTTCTTTAGTCATCTCTAACACAGAATAACCAGCAGCATCAAAACCAGCGTCAGTCATTGTCAAAATTTAAAGAAGTTAAAGTTAACTTTAAAAAATATGTTGCAAAGACCTACGACAGCCACAGTAAGAATAATGTTTACGAGAAATCTTCTTAGAAGCTTGAAATTTTTTTTAATTGACAAGGAAGCCACTTCATGGGTTCAAAGGATATTCGAGTGGTCAATAAAGAAAAACTAAAGGTGCACATGACTTTCACCAAATTACCAAAAAAATCAAATTGTGAATTTGTGACACAAGTGCTCATAAGATAGTTGTTAAGATAATTCCTTGAAAGAGACACTTTTGTCTTTATTGTCAATAACAGAAAGCAAAAACTTTTGGTAAGAGAGCAAAGACTATGGGCTTATAGTGGTTTACATCTGCAGTCCTTACAAACTTTACTTTTACTTCTGAACAGTTATTATACTCCCTAATAAAAAGTAACCATACACTCAACAGAGGAGACTGTCCCACTTTTAAAATTGGCTATGCAGGTAATCTTTATGAGCAGCAATTATAACCCATACTTTTGTTGTTTTGTTAAGTGGTAACCTCTAGAGGCCATAGCAATTATTACTGGAGTCAGAGAGGAACTCAGGCGACTTAGTAGACAGAGCTGGGATGGGTCAAAGAAACACAGCACTCTGATTTAGGGCTTAGCAAACTTACACCCTGTTGTGTTGCGCAGGTGCGCTGCTTTTTAATATGAAGGGCTTAATTCAGTTCATATTAAATGGGCTTTATTGGCATGGAAAACATCCACTGCCAGAGCAAGTGTGACAGCAAAACAAAACTTGTGTGTACAGTGATTACATTTCTACCAGAATTTGGGTAATATACATGTCGCTGCTGATTGGGTACACCTGTGACAAAGGAGAGAAAACACAGGCTATCTTGAAGCCCGTTGCAAACCATCTCACATGGTTTTGAGGAAATGTCGTTAAATCTGGAAACTGCAGCAAAACAGTGCACACCGTTTTCAGATTGAACATGCCCTATAAAGACCAGTGTTAATGTCCCCAATATTCAAGGTTGAGTTACTTTATCAAAGTAGGTATGTCAGCGTATGTCACATCACACATGACGTATGTGATGTATGTCATGTGAGATACGCCATGTACATTGTCATGTGGACTACTCATTTTAAGCCAAAACATGATCTGTTTTCTGTTAAACATAACAAACGAATTTTGTTGCCTAAACCCAACCAGATAGTTTTAGTGCTCCTACAGCAGTTTCTGTTCTGCCATCCAGTGGTATTTGAGGCTGGTCAAATCCCCACAGACGCCCATGTTGAACCCCATCCTGATAATACACTTCTAAACAGAACAGCAGGACAGACGTTCACTGTGTATTCATTATGCAGATAAGGTGAGCTCATTTTATATAAAACCAAACAGAAACATATTATTAAAGTGGTTTAAGACATGAGATCATAAATTTTTGTAAACCAGACAAACCTGATCTTAAAGCTTAACCTAACATAATTATCAAGAGTTAGAACATAGCACTCTTAAATACTATCAACAAAATTCTGTGGTGTTTATTTCTTGAGGTATCACCGCTGCTCTGCTGCTCCGTTGCTAGGGATGCCATAGCAACGGCCTTCGGCTGAGGAGCATCAAAATCAGTTAACGTTAGTCCACACAGCTCTTCCAAGCTGGCCTGGAGAGCAGGGAGATCATGTCGGTCACTGGCCATAAATGTGAGGGCAGCCTTCGCAGCTACTGGGCACCCAGCATCTCCGACCAGGAGAAGTGGAGTAAAATCCTCTCCTCCGCTCCAGGAAACGGCCGCAGTTTGTCTGGTGAACGCCTCTCCTCTGTCAATACACTCTGCCAGCAATTTAATAATATTGATGCCACTTTAACATTTGAATGTTTTAGTAGTGAGCCATGTTCTAAGCGGGATAATGTATAGTGAGCCGGTGACAGTTGAAAAATAACTCCCTTCAGGGGAATGGAACCCCTCTGCGCATTCCCCTGTCAGGAGTTATTTTTCAACAGTCACCGGCTCACTATACATTATCCCTTACTTAGCCGGCCAGTGGGTAGAGAGGATATTCAAATGAATTTGCATGACATACAAATCACTGACTTTGTATAAAATGACATCATTAAAAATTATTCTTACTGCTAGGAAGTTCTGAATATCAATAATTGTTACGTTGTATCTTCATGACTGGATTTTCATCATATGCTCATATTGTGGCCAGTATATTTATGACAGTTTTTAAAGTGAATTGTATGCAGCATTTAAAAGGTCTTTAAAAGTCTTTCATTCAACGTGGTGAACCCTGTTAAAGTCCGGTTTTAGCAGGTGCAGTTTATTTGTCATTATAAACATACTAATATCATGATCTGACACTCAAGATGTGTATTGTACTGTATTACCTATTAACAAAACTCCTCGGAAAAACCCAAATATCATAGACAATACTCATTCACTGTGTCAAAACATACAATTTCCTTGTTTCTTTTTTTTATTTTGGTGCCTTTCGCCTTGCTTCATTATCACATACCTAGAAATCTAAACTTACTTCTTTGTCATAATTTCTCATCACACTGGAGGAACATCCTTTGACATTCACTTCGGAGAAATGTACCAGCAACCTGTTGCACAGGATTAAAAAGGGAGTATGCCATTATACTGAGCCAAGACACTGACATATTGACATCTGACAGCCTGTACCCAGTGATGTGGTTTTGTTTATCACAAAGGTGTCACAACATTCTTAAGAGGTTATCAGTTATGAGTCACTTCATTAGCTTTGTATTCTGTTCCAATATAAAGGCCATAATAGATGTGGACTGTCACTTAAGGTGAGAAGGTTTGGAACATCACAGACGTGAACAGGACTGAATTAAGACACTGGAATAGTGTTTAACATTGAAAGCAGATAGAAGGGGGGGATTTATACTTTCATCTCATATCTTTACATTTGGGTAAGTGCATTTTTCATTTTATATATGTAGAACTTTCTACACTTATACACTATGTGTGTATAGAAGAGAGAGAGAGAGAGAGTGTGTGTGTGTGTGTGTGTGGTTAATGTTTGTGTGTTTACATATTTATGAACAAATGTATTTTATCAGCTGTCTCTGTCTTACCTTTAGGAAATGCTCATGTATTCTCGTTCATTATAATTTAATTGTCATTATCACATATTTAAAGTGACAATAAGTGACTGCCTCGTTAAGTTATTATAAAATGTTGTAAAATCCAGTTGTAGCTTTCTCTTTAGCTGATATTCTAGTCTGTTTGTTTTTTTAGTTTCCCCCAAATACACATAGGTGCTATTTAATTTTGTTTTTCATCTCTATTTATTCAGCATTTCTAACCTTTCTTTCATTTTTCAACAGTTTATGTATTTTGTCAGAAAGCCATGAATGAAAATGTACAGTGTACGACAACCAGTACTGTAGTCCAGACCACCTAAACTGAGACCAAGTCATGACCAAGACCAGAGTGTATGGAGACTCAGACAAAACCAAGACTTAGAGGCTGAGACCAAGTTTAGACCACAACCAAGACCAGTGTGAGTCCCACACTGCATGGTAGAAACTGTGTGACATACAAACCATAGGCACTCCCAAAATTGATCTCAAAGATCCACATTCTCATAAAAACACCTACAAAGACAAAAGAAGATTCCTCTTCATTCACCTCTGTTATTGCCATATTGTCTGTATGTGTTAGTAAAACATGAGAAATGTTTTTATAAAATAATTAAAGGCATGGTGGAGGTGAATTTTTTGTTATTTAGTAATATCCCCGTGGTTGTGATGTTGAACGGTCTCCAAATAAAAATCCAGAATCCTGACACTGAGACAAGACCAAGTAAAAATGCACTCGAGTAACAGATGAGACCAAGACGTTCAAAAAGTGGTCTTTACACCAGTGTCGAAAACTAAACCAATCTTGAGTACAACAACATTGACTGTTGACTCTTCAAAGGATAAAATCATGGATCACGAAGCAGATTATTTCATGGACAGATACTGCATTATACTTATTTTTTTAAATCAAACCTTTCCCTTTGAATGTTTTATATAAGTTGACTATAACAGACTAAAATCACAGCTATTATGAAAACTCTCATTTGCAGGTTTAACACTGTGTAATACCTAAAAGTCAGTAAATCTCTGTACTGTTTGATTTTATAGAGAAAAAGAAAACCAGGATGGGTGTCACACACATCGTATCAGTGTTGCTGATTCTAACAGGTGAGCTGAGTCATGTTGAACAAGTTTCTTTGGAATGTTAATAGAAAATGTGAAGGTGAAAAAATGTAAGATGGACACCAACACAACATCAAGTTATGGTTGAGTTCATTTAGACACATCATCAAAGACTTCTTAGATGAATGAACATCAGTGTAGAATCACCTTTACATCGTAATTACTTAATATAAGAGCAAGATAAATTGTGTTTTACTAAATCTGTTGAATTCTTTGGTGCTTTATAGCTACAATGACACCAGGTACACAAGAAACAAGTACAACTGCTGCACCAACAACTACTGCACCTACAACATCTGCACCTACAACTGCTGCCCCTACAACTGCTGCACCGACAACTGCGGCACCAACAACTGCGGCACCGACAACTGCAGCATCTACTACTGCAGCTCCTACAACAGCTGCACCCACAACTGTTGCACCCACAACAGCTGCACCGACAACTGCAGTACCGACAACTGCAGCTCCGACTACTGCCACTCCAACAACTGCTGCAGCTGCAACTGCCGCTCCAACAACTGCTGCACCTACAACTGTTGCTCCAACAACTGCTGCACCTACAACTGCCGCTCCAACTACTGCAGCTCCCACAACTGCCGCTCCAACAACTGCCTCACCTACAACCATTGCACCTACAACAGCTGCACAGACAACTGCCGCTCCAATAACTGCTGCACCAACAACAGCTGCTCCAACAACTACTGCACCGACAACTGCTGCACCTACTACTGCAGCTCCTACAACTGCTGCTCCAACAACTGCTGCACCTACAACAGCTGCACCCACAACTGCTGCACCTACAACAACTGCTCCAACAACTACTGCACCGACAACTGCAGCACCTACTACTGCAGCTCCTACAACTGCCGCTCCAACAGCTGCTGCACCTACAACTGCTGCTCCTACAACTGTTGCTCCAACAACTGCTGCACCTACAACAGCAGGGCCAACTACTGCAGCTCCTACAACTGCCGCTCCAACAACTGCCGCACCTACAACCGTTGCACCTACAACAGCTGCACCTACAACAGCTGCACTAACAACTGCTGCACCTACAACTGTTGCACCTACAACAGCTGCACCTACAACTGCTGCACCAACAACAGCTGCACCTACAACAGCTGCGCCTACAACGGCTGCACAGACAACTGCAGCACTTACTACTGCAACTCCTACAACTGCTGCTACAACAACTGTTGCACCTACAACAGCTGTACCTACAACTGCTGCACCTACAACAGCTGTACCTACAACTGCAGCACCTACAACTACTGCTCCAACAACTGCTGCACCACCGACTGCTGCGCCTACAACTGCTGCACCGACAACTGCAGTGCCAACTACTGCAGCTCTAACAACTGCTGCACCTACAACTGTTGCACCTACAACAGCTGCTCCTACAACTGCTACACCTACAACTGCAGTGCCAAATACTGCAGCTCCCACAACTGCTGCTCCTACAACTGCCGCTCCAACAACTGCTGCAGTTACAACTCCAGCACCTACAACTGCTGCTCCAACAACTGCCACACCTACAACTGTTGCACCTACAACAGCTGCACCTACAACTGCTGCACCTACAACAGCAGGGCCAACTACTGCAGCTCCAACAACTGCCGCACCTACAACCGTTGCACCTACAACTGTTGCACCTACAACAGCTGCACCTACAACTGCTGCTCTAACAACTGCTGCACCTACAACTGTTGCACCTACAACAGCTGCTCCTACAACTGCTGCACCTACAACAGCAGTGCCAACTACTGCAGCTCCCACAACTTCTGCTCCTACAACTGCTGCTCCAACAACTGCCGCACCTACAACTGTTGCACCAACAACAGCTGCACCTACAACTGCTGCACCTACAACAGCTGGACCTACAACTGCAGCACCTACAACCGTTGCACCAACAACTGCTGCACCTACAACAGCTGCTCTAACAACTGCTGCACCTACAACTGTTGCACCTACAACAGCTGCACCTACAACTGCTGCACCAACAACAGCTGCACCTACAACAGCTGCGCCTACAACGGCTGCACAGACAACTGCAGCACTTACTACTGCAACTCCTACAACTGCTGCTACAACAACTGTTGCACCTACAACAGCTGTACCTACAACTGCTGCACCTACAACAGCTGTACCTACAACTGCAGCAACTACAACTACTGCTCCAACAACTGCTGCACCACCGACTGCTGCGCCTACAACTGCTGCACCGACAACTGCAGTGCCAACTACTGCAGCTCTAACAACTGCTGCACCTACAACTGTTGCACCTACAACAGCGGCTCCTACAACTGCTACACCTACAACTGCAGTGCCAAATACTGCAGCTCCCACAACTGCTGCTCCTACAACTGCCGCTCCAACAACTGCTGCAGTTACAACTCCAGCACCTACAACTGCTGCTCCAACAACTGCCACACCTACAACTGTTGCACCTACAACAGCTGCACCTACAACTGCCGCACCTACAACAGCCCCTCAAACAACTGCCACTCCAACAACTGCCCTACCTACAACAGCTGCGCCTACAACGGCTGCACAGACAACTGCAGCACCTACTACTGCAACTCCTACAACTGCTGCACCTACGACTGCTGCACGTACAACTGCTGCTCCAACAACTGCCGCTCCAACAACTGTTGCACCTACGACTGCTGCACCTACAACTGCTGCACCTACAACAGCTGCGCCTACAACTGCAGCACCTACGACTGCTGCTCCAACAACTGCTGCACCAACGACTGCTCCACCTACAACTGCCGCTCCAACAACTACTGCACTGACAACTGCAGCACCTACTAATGCAGCTCCTACAACTGTTGCACCTACAACTGCTGCAGCTACAACAGCTGCACCGACAACTGCCGCTCCAACAACTGCCGCACCTACAACTGTTGCACCTACAACAGCTGCACCTACAACTGCTGCTCCTACAACTGCTGCTCCAACAACTACTGCACTGACCACTGCAGCACCTACTACTGCAGCTCCTACAACTCTTTCACCTACAACTGCTGCTCCTACGACAGCTGCACTGACAACTGCCACTCGAACAACTACTGCACCTATAACTGTGGCACCTACAACAGCTGCACCTACAACAGCTGCGCCTACAACGGCTGCACCTACAACTGCAGCACCTACTACTGCAACTCCTACAACTGCCGCTCCAACAACTGCTGCACCTACAACTGCTGCTCCAACAACTGCTGCACCTACAACAGCAGGGCCAACTACTGCAGCTCCAACAACTGCCGCACCTACAACCGTTGCACCTACAACTGTTGCACCTACAACAGCTGCACCTACAACTGCTGCTCTAACAACTGCTGCACCTACAACTGTTGCACCTACAACAGCTGCTCCTACAACTGCTGCACCTACAACAGCAGTGCCAACTACTGCAGCTCCCACAACTTCTGCTCCTACAACTGCTGCTCCAACAACTGCCGCACCTACAACTGTTGCACCAACAACAGCTGCACCTACAACTGCTGCACCTACAACAGCTGGACCTACAACTGCAGCACCTACGACTGCTGCTCCAACAACTGCTGCACCAACGACTGCTGCACCTACAACAGCTGCACCCACAACGGCCGCACCTACCACTGCTGCACCTACAACTGCTGCACCTACGACTACTGCTCCAACAACTGCTGCACCAACGACTGCTGCACCTACAACAGCTGCACCCACAACGGCCGCACCTACAACAGCTGCACCTACAACTCCCGTACCTACGACTGCTGCTCCAACAACTCTTGCACCTACAACGGCAGTGCCTACTACTGCAGCTCCTACAACTGCTGCACCTACAACTGCTACACCTACAACTGCAGCTCCAACAACTGCCGCTCCAACAACTGCTGCACCTACAACTGCTGCTCCAACAACTGCTGCACCTACAACTGCTGCTCCAACAACTGCTGCACCAACGACTGCTGCACCAACGACTGCTGCACCTACATCAGCTGCACCTACGACTGCTGCTCCAACAACTGCTGCAACAACGACTGCTGGACCTACAACAGCTGCACCTACGACTGCTGCTCCAACAACTGCTGCACCAACGACTGCTGCATCTACAGCAGCTGCACCCACAACGGCCGCACCTACAACAGCTGCACCTACAACTGCAGCACCTACAACTGCTGTACCTACGACTGCTGCTCCAACAACTCCTGCACCTACAACTGCAGTGCCTACTACTGCAGCTCCTACAACTGCTGCACCTACAACTGCTGCACCTACAACTGCAGCTCCAACAACTGCCGCTGCAACAACAGCTGCACCTACAACTGCTGCTCCAACAACTGCTGCTCCGACAACTACAGCGCCTACTACTGCAGGTACTACAACTGCTGCACCAACAACTGCTGCACCAACGACTGCTGCACCTACAACGGCCGCACCTACAACAGGTGCACCTACGACTGCTTCTCCAACAACTGCTGCACCTACGACTGCTGCACCAACGACTGCTGCACCTACAACAGCTGCACCTACAACTGCTGCTCCAACAACTGCTGCACCAACGACTGCTGCACCCACAACGGCCGCACCTACAACACCTGCACCTACAACTGCAGCACCTACGACTGCTGCTCCTACAACTGCAGCATCTACGACTGCTGCTCCAACAACTGCTGCACCTACAACAGCTGCACCCACAACGGCCACACTTACAACAGCTGCACCTACAACTGCTGCACCTACGACTGCTGCTCCAACAACTGCTGCACCAACGACTGCTGCACCAACGACTGCTGCACCAACAACAGCTGCACCTACGACTGCTGCTCCTACAACTGCTGCACCAACGACTGCTGCATCTACAACAGCTGCACCCACAACGGCCGCACCTACAACAGTTGCACCTACAACTGCAGAACCTACAACTGCTGCTCCTACAACTGCAGCACCTACGACTGCTGGTCCAACAACTGCTGCACCTACAACAGCTGCACCCACAACGGCCGCACCTACCACTGCTGCACCTACAACTGCTGCACCTACGACTGCTGCTCCAACAACTGCTGCACCAACTACTGCTGCACCTACAACAGCTGCACCCACAACGGCCACACCTACAACAGCTGCACCTACAACTGCTGCACCTACGACTGCTGCTCCAACAACTGCTGCACCAACGACTGCTGCACCTACAACAGCTGCACCCACAACGGCCGCACCTACAACAGCTGCACTGACAACTGCTGCACCGACAACGGCAGCGCCTACTACTGCTGCACCTACAACTGCTGCTCCAACAACTGCTGCACCGACAACTGCTGCACCTACAACTGCAGTGCCTACCACTGCTGCACCGACAACTGCTGCACCTACAACTGCTGCTCCAACAACTGCTGCACCGACAACTGCTGCTCCAACAACTGCTGCACCGACAACTGCACCTCCTACAACTGCTGCACCTACATCTGCTGCACCCACAACAGCTGCACCTACAACAGCTGCACCCACAACTGCTGCTCCTACAAGGGTTGCGCCTACAACTGCCGCACCTACCACTGCCGCTCCAACAACTGCTCCACCTACAACTGCAGCTCCAACAACAGCTGCACCTACAACTGCTGCTCCAACAACTGCTGCACCTACAACTGCCACACCTACATCTGCCGCACCTACAACAGCTGCACCTACAACAGCTGCACCTACAACTGCCGCTCCAACAACTGCTGAACCTACGACTGCTGCTCCAACAACTGCTGCACCTAGAACAGCTGCACTTACAAGTGCTGCACCGACAACGGCAGCGCCTACTACTGCAGCTCCTACAACTGCCACACCTACAACTGCAGCAACTCAACCTGTCTATAAACTCTCAGCAGACTTATCAGGAGAAACATTTTCAGAGGACCTCAATGACCCAAACAGCGCTGCATTCAAAGCACTTGCAAAACGAGTTGTCAATACAGTGAGTTCATGTTGTGATTATAAATTAATAATTAGCTGTGTCATTGTTGTAACCAAAGTATTGAACAGATATGTTTACTTCAAACACAAAACTGTTGAGATCAAAATCCATTTTTAGAAACTTGTCATTTCTGTGTTTTTATATGATTCGAAAATCAGCTTTAAATGTCCTCAATCATTTCTGATGTTTTTTCTGTTTGCAGTGTTTTCAGATATACAGGCCGAGATTTCCGGACTTTGTTGACTGCATTGTGACAAAGTTCAGGTAAAAGTATTTGTGAGTTTTATTTTCTGACATTGGTTCATTCATTTACTTTTTGGAGGATTTAGAATAAATATTTAATACTTGTCTCATCTGTGTTTTTTATGGAACAGTGCCCTCGGTACATCACGAGCAGAAGGAGTTCAAGCCGAATTTAACGTTGTCTTCAGTCAGAACACTACGGATCCCCCATCAAATAATGAGGTTTCTATGACCCTCCAGACTGCAGTGAGTGATCCCACCAACTCCTTCAACGTGAGCATTAATCCCAGCTCAGTCACCTTAGTAGGTAAGTAAACAAATGTTTCACTCTAATCAGTATGTAAAACAGTGTACATGTGCTGCTCATGCTCTGTTTATGAAGTCACAAACTAAATTATGTTGCTAGGCAAGATTCATAAAGAAAACTTCAGTGTTATGCAGTTTAACTGATGCAGGATGAGCTACTGTCTGAGCTACCTTGTATTCAGTAAGATTTCTGGCAAAGCGAACTTTAAGAGCCTTTTATAATTGTTGTTATATATCTGTGAAACTGACACTAAAGTCAGTTTGACATCAAGCAAGAAAAAAAAATTTGGTTTGGGAACCTACGCTCATTTACATATTCTTATATGACTTTTACAGCAGGCCCAGTTGCAACTCCAACTACAACTGCTGCACCTACATCTGCTGCACCTACAACTGCTGCACCTACTACTGCCGCACCTACAACTGCTGCCCCTTCTTCTGCCGCACCTACAACTGCTGCCCCTACGACTGCTGCACCTACAACTGCTGCCCCTACGACTGCTGCCCCTACTACTGCTGCACCTACAACTGCTGCACCTACCACTGCCGCAGCTACAACTGCCGCACCTACCACTGCTGCACCTACCACTGCTGCACCTACAACTGTAGCACTCGTGACCAAAAGGCTAACTTTCAGATCTGTTCAAGGCACATTTACAAACGACTTGCTGAATCCCTCTTCTGCAGCTTATATGAATCGAGCTGCAATGATAGTAAACCAGGTAAGTTTCAGTTTTCCTCAAAAAGCTCATGCCTGTGCTCAAGAACTGGAGCACTTACTCTGTCTACATACTAAAGGATCACATTTTCAAATTCCCAAAATAACTGATAACAAAAGCATCAAGGAGAATATATTAATGCAAATAAAGCTCCACCCCCTGCTTACTCTACAACTTCTCATTTGACTTCCCTTTATTATAAGAATATTTTCTGAAATATGTCTCACGTTTCAGGACATACACTGTTTCACATGTATACACACATGCACACAGTTCAGTGTTTCAAGGCAAAAATAAAGGCAAACATTGTATTTTAAATACAACTTGTTTTCTGTTTCTGCAGCTTACACCTATTTTCCGAAGGGAATTCGGTACCGGCTTTAAATCCTTGAAAGTGGTGTCATTCAGGTAATTCTTTAAAGATTTATTATGTTACAATATAAGAATACTGGCATAAATCTAATATTTGGCACGTTTTGTTTTGCTTGTTTCTTCTTCTGCAGCAATGGATCCATCATCAACACTGTTGACTCTGTCTTTGAAAGCACATCTGCTCCCAATGACACTCAGATTGCAAGTGCTTTGACCAGCGCTTCAGCCGTCACCACCTTTGACATTGAAACCAGCTCCATCACTGTGAATGGCATATGTAAGCAATACTGAGTGCTGCTTCATCATTATTTTCAAAAGTCACACAACTGTTAAACTAATGTCTTGTTTCTTTTATTCTTCATTTATAGCTTCAAGTGGAGTAAGCCACAAGATCAGTCTTGTTACGGCATGCTGCCTGGTACTGTTGTCATGGCTACTGTCCAGCCAGCAATAACATCTGATATCTATCTGAATTGCCACCAGAACATTACTGCCATCACTGGTATGAAAAAGGACTATGTTGTCAGTAAAAATCCATGATTCATTATTGTCTAAGTCTTGTACAGCTTCAGATGGATTAACCATCAAATTGAACTTTCCACTGACTGGACACACTTCTGTGTGGGAATGTCCAGGATCCTCGGCCAGACAGAATGACACAGCCAACTTTAAGCACCTGGTCCACTGAGTCATTGCTAGAATAATAAGCAAAAAAATATACCATTAAGCCCTGGGATGTCAGAAAATAAAGTGCTACAGCAATATTTTACTTAGTGACAGTTACTAATTCTGTTTTGTTTAGTCATGCCAAACAAGTAATCTAGTCCAAGTACACTAGTGAAACCAGCCGCATTGAAAGGTAAAACCGCAGATTTATTTTAATACATGCAGATTGAGTAATGTCTCCTCTTTAAAAGAAATAAAAAAGATAGGTCTTTGTAATTTGTACAAGATCATTCAAAATGGCGTAGTTTTACTTTGAGCTTAAAAGTGTGTGCAAACATTTCCCTGGTCTACAAATGCATGTAAAATTGATGTTAAGGTTTAACTAGATACCGTAGCATGGTATAACATGACATAGCAATAACAGAGAGCATATTGTAAAAGGAACAAGTGTTTTCAATGAAATGAAGGAACACCTGCAGCTCATAGTGAGCCATGGTGAGGTATGATTTTTATATATATACACATATATATGTCAAAACAATGCACTGTCACTTTTCTTATTTATACAAGGTGTATTTATGTAATCATGTATAGCTGTATTCTGTGAGATTTCTTCATTTAACTTAACTAAGTTTAACTTTACAATGATCAGAATACAGATTCTTTCAAAACTTCAAATTGTCTCTTGTGTGATGTTTTGGAAATTTGGTGGGTAAATAGAAAATGCATTATGGCATGTTTAATGTCGGGAGCTTTAAATAGTGAAGTGATGTTTACTGATAATCAAACCCTGCCGTGTGATGATTGTATGATTAAATTTCACAATAGTGTCTTACAATCAGTCGCTCTCAGCGAATCAGGTGTGTTCAGAAAGCGAGAACTGGAAGTGGTGCATACTTTACTTTGGCTATGAGATTCTTATTTATTCAGACACAGCCACACAGTCTGAGAGAAACATTGTTCTTTAGTCATCTCTAACACAGAATAACCACCAGCATCAAAACCAGCTTCAGTCATTGTCAAAATTTCAAGAAGTTAAAGTTAACTTTAAAAAAAAGGGCATTTTTTAAGATAATTCCTTGAAAGAGACACTTTTGTCTTTATTGTCAATAATAGAAAGCAAAAACTTTTGCTAAGAGAGCAAAGACTATGGGCTTATAGTGGTTTATATCTGCAGTCCTTACAAATTTTACTTTTACTTCTGACCAGTGATTACACTGCCTAATAAAAAATAACCATACACACAACAAAGGAGACTGTCCCACTTTTAAAAGTGGCTATCGCTGACAGTCACCGCATTATCATGGGGAGGGGGCTTCAATTTGGTGCAGGATGTGACTCTCAACAGATCTTCCCCTACACAGACTACACTATCAAAATCAGCGACCGTAGTAAAAAGTCTTGCATCACAGTTGGGAATTTTGGACCCCTGGAGGTTTAAAAACCCCCACGGTAGAGCTTTTTCTTTTTTTTCCCATGTTCACCACACATTCTCCCAAATTAGGCCCGTTTCCACCGCAGGAACTTCGGGGTAATTTTACAGGGCTTGGGCCGTTGGTGTGTGTCTCCACCGCAGGAACCACCCCCGAAGGACAGAGTTCCGGAACTTTTACGGGGGCTAAACAAGTCCCTGCCTCGGGGTAGGTACTCAGAACGGCCCCGAAAGACTCCCGGCTGGGGCTTGGGGATTACTTGGTGCTGATTGGATATACTCAAGGAGGGATGTGATGTCAACAGAAAGCAACAAAATAGCCGGCATTTTTAAAACTCAGCAGACGAGGATTAGCTCATTCATATAGCTTCCTCCGCCATGTAAAAAAAACTCACTAAATGGCCCGTGAAAGAAATATTCTTTCCAGCGGACATCTTAGTTACAACATCATTGAGGTAGCAAAGCAGTTTTGTGTTGCTATGTGTGGTATTTATTCAATTTTGGGAAATCACGATGTCTAGAAAGCATCAGTGGCTGCCGCTGACAGGGACAGCTAACAGCAGCAGCAAAGCTAACATCAGGACGTCATCTGTTAAAAGCCTCCTGTTGTCGGATACGACATGAAACTACTCCAGTTAGCTCAATCATGTTGTAACTAAGACATCCGCTGGAATTTTTTTTTTTTCACGGGCCATTTAGTGAGTTATTACAGACACCGCTAAGGGCTATCAGCTAATGGCGTCCCTACGTCGCCCTGGTAAATGGTCGCGCAACAATTACGTCACATCCAGAGCCCGTAACTTTACAGAAACCTTCCTCCTACTCCGCTCTCTCACTGGAGACACGGCAGTTGAGAGGGCCGAGCGAGAGGACGTTCCTGTAGTAGTTCCTGCCCCCCAAATAGTACCAGGAACTTCTTCAGTGGAAACGGGCCTATTGACTTCTTCTTACTTGACAACGACCTAGATAGTGTAAACGCGTGTGAGTATCACTCAATAACCACTTCGGACCATGCTCCAACCACAGTTGACATTAGTTTTCCACGTGATACAACCCCACCTGCACTATGGCGGTTCAGTTCGCAGTTGCTGTCAGACAATAAGTTTAAAGATTTTGTTGCGATTCAAATCCGTTCTTATATTGAGTTTAACGATACCCCTGATGTCAGCAGTAACATTCTGTGGGAAGCGCTTAAAGCTACCATCAGGGGACAGGTGATATCTTACATTTCCCAAATGAGAAGGGCCGAATGGGCTAGGCTGGTGGAAATTACAGATGAACTTCTGAAACTTGATGGATTATACTCCACCCCTCCATCCCCCACCCTCTATAAGAAACGGCTATTACTACATTCAGAACATGACCTGTTAATGACACGCGTAGTAGAGAGACAGCTGTGACAATCAAAACAAAGCGTTTTTGAACAGGGAGATTTGGCAGGGAGACTCCTGGCACAGCAGGCCCGTGCAGCTAGCGCTTCTAGATTGATCCCCCAAATTAAGCTACCTGTTGGCAGCCTCGCCTCTGATCCAGTAGTTATCAATAAGTCTTGAACTGATTTCTGTACCACTTTGTACACTTCCGAATGTGCCCCAATCACTACGACAACCCCTAACCCTTTAGACCGGTTAACATACCCCCAAATTGATATAAATGTTGCCAGTGAACTGGGTAGACCCGTCTCTCTACTGGAGGCACAGGAAGCAATCAAAGCTTTACAAAACGGGAAATCTCCTGGTCCCGATGGGTTTACAGTTGAGTTCTTTAAAATATATTCTATTTTTTTAGCCCCCATATTAGTGAGAATGTTCAACGACTCCTTTAGTGAAGGCAGACTGCCAGCGACCTTGTATGAGGCATCTATTTCACTGCTTCTGAAGAAAGACAGGGACCCTACATCCTGTGGTAGCTATCAACCAGTCTCACTGTTAAACGTGGATTGTAAAATTCTGGCTAAGGTTCTCGCCACCCACCTCCAAAATGTGATGTCATCAATAATTTCGCTGGACCAGACAGGGTTCACATTAGGGAGACACTCATTCTTTAATACCAGGAGGCTACTGAACATCATATTCTCACCTGTGCCCGACATTCCTGAAGTCATAGTGGTGCTTGACGTGGAGAAAGCGTTCAACAGGGTGGAGTGGGGCTTTCTATTTTTTATTCTGGAGAAATTTGGCTTTGATTCTAATTTCATTTCTTGGGTTAAACTTCTGTACACTGCTCCATCTGCATCTGTAAATACTAACGGCGTCCACT